ATGGTAAATGTCCAACTATTATAAGCTCTAACCTTAAAATGATCCAAGAAGACAAGTTGGTCACTATCCTCAAAAGATATAAGAGTGCTATTGGAAGTATAACCCCCTTTGAAAGGATCTCGATCACACCAGTGGGAAGATTTGAGACAACCTCAGATTGTGGAAGTGAATGAAGAGACAAAAAAGAGTACGGAGTTGAAACAACTTCCTGAAAACCTTAAGTATGTTTTCCTTGACACTGACGGTAAATGTCCAGCTATTATAAGCTCTAACCTTAAAAAGATCCAAGAAGACAAGTTGGTCACTGTCCTCAAAAGATATAAGAGTGCTATTGGAAGCATAACCCCCTTTGAAAGGATCTCGATCACACCAGCGGGAAGATTTGAGACAACCTCAGATTGTGGAAGTGAATGAAGAGACAAAAAAGAGTACGAAGTTGAAACAACTTCCTGAAAACCTTAAGTATGTTTTCCTTGACACTAACGGTAAATGTCCAGCTATTATAAGCTCTAACCTTAAAATGATCCAAGAAGACAAGTTGGTCACTGTCCTCAAAAGATATAAGAGTGTTATTGGAAGCATAACCCCCTTTGAAAGGATCTCGATCACACCAGTGGGAAGATTTGAGACAACCTCAGATTGTGGAAGTGAATGAAGAGATAAAAAAGAGTACGGAGTTAAAACAACTTCCTGAAAACCTTAAGTATGTTTTCCTTGACACTGACGGTAAATGTCCAGCTATTATAAGCTCTAACCTTAAAACGATCCAAGAAGACAAGTTGGTCACTGTCCTCAAAAGATATAAGAGTGCTATTGGGCGGGCTATTGAGGATTTAAATGGTATTAGTCCCACGGTGTGCATGCACAAAATTCTCATGGAAGATGATTATAAGCCAGTAGTGCAACCTCAAAGAAGACTTAATCCGACCATGAAAGAGGTAGTCAGAAAAGAAGTTGTGAAGTTGTTAGATGCAGGTCTTATCTACCTTATATCCGACAACTCTTGGGTGAGTCCGGTTCATGTGGTACCAAAGAAAGGGGGTACGACCGTCATCAAAAACGAGAAAAACCAGTTGATCTTGACAAGAACGGTAACAAGTTGGCGAGTATGTATTAATTATAGAAGGTTAAATCTTGCTACAAGGAAAGAACATTTCCCTTTTCCATTCATTGATCAAATGTTGGAAAGGTTAGCTGGTCATGATTATTATTGTTTCCTTGACGGTTACTCCTGGTACAACCAAATTGCCGTGGCACCGGAAGATCAAGAAAAGACGGATTTTACATGCTCGTATGGTGTTTTTGCTTACAGAAGAATGCCATTTGGGTTATGTAATGCTCCTGCCACGTTTCAGAGATGCATGGCTTCCATTTTTGCTGATATGTTGGAAAAACATATGGAAGTCTTCATGGATGATTTCTCGGTATTTGGCTCTTCTTTTGATAACTGTTTAACTAACATTTCTCTTGTTTTACAAAGATGTCAGGAAAGCAACTTAATCCTTAACTGGGAGAAGTGCCACTTCATGTATGTGAAGGAATAGTCTTGGGTCACAAAAAATCTCACAAAGGAATCGAAGTGGACCAAGCCAAAGTTGAAGTAATATTAAAGCTCCCACCTCCATTGAAAAAAAAAGGTATAAGAAGTTTCTTAGGCCATGCGAGTTTCTACCGCCGATTCATAAGAGACTTCTTAAAAATATCCAAACCTCTAACCACTCTTTTGGTTAAGGATAAGGCTTTTAACTTTGATGAAAAGTGTGTTGAAGCGTTTGAAAAATTGAAGAATAAATTAGTTTTGGCACCGATTGTGATTGCCCCTGATTGGTCTCTCCCATTTGAGATCATGTGTGAAGCTAGCGACATTGCAGTAAGGGTTATTTTAGGACAACGAAGAGACAAATCATTGCATGTTATTTACTACACTAGTCATGTGTTGAACCCCACACAGATGAACTACGCAACTATCGAAAAGGAGTTGTTAGCAGTAGAAGCCTTTGATAAATTCAGGCAATATTTGTTGGGTTTGAAATTTATTGTGTATACTGACCACGCTGCTTTAAAGTACTTATTTACTAAACAGGATTCTAAGCCAAGGCTCTTAAGGTGGATTCTACTCCTGCAGGAGTTTGATGTGGAGATCCGTGATAAGAGAGGATGTGAAAATACTGTTGCTGATCATCTTTCTCGAATGTCGCCAATTGAAGAAACTGAGGACAATCACCCAATAAAGGATGAGTTTACTGACGAACACATCCTCACTGTTATTGGTGTCCCCTGGTTCGCAGATTATGCAAATTATCTGGTAGGCAGTATCATCCTTGACGATTTTGATGCTAACAAAAAGAAAAAGTTTTTACATGATTGCAGGTTCTATTTGTGGGGTGATCCATTCTTATACAAAAGAAGCCTAGATGTATTGTTCAGGAGATGTGTTCCTGAAGACGAGCAGAGGAATGTTCTTGAAGCGTGTCATAACTTAGATTATGGAGGGCATTTTAGTGGTGACCGAACCACAACAAAAGCTCTTTAATCAGGGTTATATTGGTCATCATTGTTCAAAGATGCCCAAGATATAGTCAAAGAATGTGACAAGTGTCAACGGACGGGTAATATCTCAAAGAGAAATCAGACGCCACAAAACTCCATGATGGAAGTTGAGTTATTTGATGTTTGGGGCATCGACTTTATGGGCCCATTTCGACCATCCTTTGGTAAAAATTATATTTTGGTAACAGTTGAATTTGTCTCGAAGTGGGTAGAAGTCGTGGCTCTTCCAACTAATGACGCTAAAGTTGTGATCAGATTCTTGAAAGAAAACATCTTTTCTCGGGGGCGGATGTCTTGTAGTCTCGAACATCACATCAGGACAAGTAATGAGATAAGTTTGAGGTTGTGATCAGTCACCAACTTTATGAGTTTTTGCTCATTTATTCGGTAAAAAGTCAGGATAATTGGTAACACTTTGGTTTGTTTCTTTATTGTTTTCCTTTAATTAATTTAGTTTTCGTATTCTGTCCGTTTAAGTTGTTTTAGTTTAAATTTATGTTAAATAAAATACTTTTGAAGTCTTGGTCTAGTAGTGTTGGTGATTTCAGGTCCATTGAAGTAATTAGAGGAATAAATGCAAAGTCGGCTGAGTTCAGGAGGATTTTCCTCAAGATCAAAGGCCTGACACGGCCCGTGTCAGGATGAGAAGAGGAAAGCACATGAAGAACAACAACCAGTGGGTTGACACGGCCTGTGTCAGCATGCCTGTAGATTGCAGTTTTGGAAATTCATACCAGTGGCCCAACACGGGTACCCGTGTCAGCTGACACGACCCGTGTTGGGAGGAGCGACCATATTTCTGATGTTTTTGAATTCTGGCCAGTGTTAATGCATGAAGGGTAGTTTGGACTTTGTGCATGGAAAAGATTGATCTGATACTATTAAGACGTGATTTCAGAAAGGAAAAAGGACTTGGGATTGTACGAAGGAATCACAACAGAAATTGGGAAGCTCTGGAGAATTGGGAAGAGGAGGAGATTTTCATGATCGGAAAAAATTGAAGATCAACTTTATTCACCAAGTCTTGTAATGTCTCTTATGTACCAAGTCACATGTCTAACATGTTCTTTCCATAATTTTTATGTCACCCACAAAGATTACACGAGCTTAAAATTTTCCTTCAACACAAGGCCATCCAACTTCTCACTTAGAAACTTCTAAATTAGTCTTGAACACAATTATTGTATTGTTGTAATAAGAAGACTCAATCAAACATTCTAACATACAAAATGACACCAAGTACCTCCATAAACTCTATCTAATTCATGAAATATTAGAGTGTGATTAAAAGTCTTCTTAACAATTCAACAAAAAGGAGCCATAAAAACTTACCATCAAAATCGAACAAAATAGAATAAAAAGGAGCAACATATTTGTGATTAGCTAACATATACGGGTGGCGAAATGGGTTCGTTTCGTCAGACATGTCTTTTTTTCCCGCACTTTTTTGCAGGGAGGTCAAGGTTTTAGGCCCACACTCTTTAACGTGACCTTCCTGTTCTGCCCCATTTTTGTCGGCTTTTGCAAACATATGCATTTACATATAATTTTGTAAATTTTAAGCCTAAAATGTTCGATGCCCCCCGAGCCCGCCCTATTCTGCCTTCACTTTTATGCGGGACATAATTAGGGGGACATAATTAGATTTTAGGTCTGCATAATCAAATATGTTCATCTCAGCCCCATTTTTTTTTTACAAAACAGACAAACAAGACAAGTATACCCATTTATCGCCCCTACTAAGATATCTTTATAAATATTTACCTCACCAAAAAAGAGTTACAATAAAAGTAGGACAAATCAAAAACATTAAAGAGTTTCTCAATTAATTTTTCTGAAGTTTCTTAAATATATTTAAAACATTTAAATGTTTTTTATGTTATACTATCATATTTATATTTTTATACCTATCTGTAGTATTAAATTATTTAATAGTAACGATAACTATAAACAATTTGCATTGAAATAAGAATGATATGACAATAGGTGAATTAACAATTAGTTTTCGGCAGCTATATAACCAACGCACACTATCAAATTTTAATGGCTCTGATTATTATTTTATATTATTAAAATATCAATATTTTATGCATTTTAAATTAATGATAACTTGAATAAAAAATAATTATAAATAAAAAATATAAAATGTGGGGTCAAATTTTAATTTTTTACGAGCAACTATAATTAAAATAAAAACAATTCAAATCAACTATAAATTTTTTAAATCTTATAATTCACTTTAAAGCCACACAAAATATCTTAGTTTATCTCTATAATTTACCCAGTAAAGATGCCCTTATGTATTCCACCTTATGCTGAAATGCACGTGATCTAAGACCAAACAATGGTACTCTAGAAAGAGTACTATAAAAGACTACCTTTTCCTCATTTCACTTTCTATCTGCCACTCTTTCTCTTTCTACACTTTCTATCTCCTCCACCAACCAACCATGGCTCTTCAACTCTGGTCAACCCTTAAAGAAGCCATTGTTGTTTACACTGGCCTTTCCCCAGCAACTTTCTTCACTCTCCTAGCGATTTTCTTCACCCTCTACTACATCGTCACAAGTCTCTTCGGTTCCTCAGACACCCCCCAACGCCATGATACCTCAAGGGACTTTGATGCTCAGATGGAGCCTCTTAAACCACCTGTTCAGATCGGTGAAGTTACCGAGGAAGAGCTTAAAGATTATGACGGTAATAACCCTGATAAGCCCCTTCTTATGGCTATTAAGGGTCAGATCTATGATGTTTCTCAAAGCAGGTATGTTTTTGAAGGAAAATACACTTTTTTCTTTTTTGTTTTCTTTGATTTTGGATCATGGGTTTTGCTATGTATTGTCTATTGAATCTTTTTGATTATCTGGGTTTTTTTTTCTTTGGTTGCTCTTAGTAAAAATTATTATATTTTGTATAGTTTTATCTGCCTATTGTTTCTGATTATTCATATAATTTTGTTTTGTTTTTGTGCCTTTTTTTGGATAAGTGTTGATTGAATGCTAACAATTTACCAGATTGAGTTTTTATTCTATGTTCATAGGTCTTAGCTTTGTATATGTTTTCAGCTATGGTTCCTTGTAGTTCTTACTTTTTAGAATTGATTAGTTCTTGATTCTTAGAGTTGATTGAATGATAGGAATGTTTGATTGAATTCATTTATATAATTAGTGATTTTGGTTTTTCCATGAGAAAAGTTATTTTAGTTTAGACATGAATTGGATGTGAAGTAGTTTAGGTTTGGAAATTTTTAGGTAAAGGTGATTTGAACAATAAATTAACTTGTACCAAAATCAGTTATGAACTCTAAACCTACAATTTAGTGTATGTTTGGTTTATCTTTTTGAAGAGGCTAAAACAATTCTAAGGGTGTAGAATTGATTTTGGAATGATTTTGCCGTGTTTGATTCTCCTAAAGTTGAATTGATTCCGCCTCCATAATTGATTCTACGTGAAGCTACAATGTAGCTTTTGAGATTAAGTGTGATTTTTACACTGAAATTTGTTGTTCAACTCACTCTTAAATAAATGTATTCAAACATAAATCATCTTACATCGAACTCATCTTTAACCAAAATCAATTCACTCAGAATCAATTATCCTCACCTGCCCATTGGGGACCAATTGGTCATTTATTTTTAATCTTCCATTTTTTCAATCTTTAACCAGAATCAATTCACTCAGAATCAATTATCCTCACCTGCCCATTGGGGACCAATTGGTCATTTATTTTTAATCTTCCATTTTTTCAATGTTTGGTCCACACTTTTGCTGTACCTAACTTCATTAGGGGCTGCTTGGTTTTGAGTAGGTAGAAAGGGGTTAAAGTTGAAAACAGTGCAGACTGAAAATTATTTTCAACCTCAACTGAAAATGACTTCATTTTATTTTCTTCCACCTTTTTAATAATAATTGTTAGTCAAAACATGCCAATTGTTAATTGACTTTGAATTCAAATATTTGTGCTTCTATCTTTGAACAAGCCAACAATTGTAGCATGTTTAATTGTGATGTAACTTTTTCTTCTTTGTACTCAAGCCTAGATTTGAGACTAAATGTCAATGAAGTGTTTCTTTGAATTCTATTTACATAAGATTTTTTCATTAGGGGCTGCTTGGTTTTGAGTAGGTAGAAAGGGGTTAAAGATGAAAACAGTGCAGACTGAAAATTATTTTCAACCTCAATTGAAAATAACTTCATTTTATTTTCTTCCACCTTTTTAATAATAATTGTTAGTCAAAACATGCCAATTGTTAATTGACTTTGAATTCAAATATTTGTGCTTCTATCTTTGAACAAGCCAACAATTGTAGCATGTTCAATTGTGATGCAACTTTTTCTTCTTTGTACTCAAGCCTAGATTTGAGACTAAATGTCAATGAAGTGCTTCTTTGAATTCTATTTACATAAGATTTTTTATTTGTTTTTGCTGCTGTTCTTAATCTGTTCTAGTTTGTCAGATTAGAAGATTCTCTAGTTTATGTTTTTGCTCCAAATATTGCAAAAAGAAACTGATGTATGATTTTCTGTTTGTGTTTTTCAATGTTCTGCATTAGGATGTTTTATGGCCCTGGTGGACGTTATGCCCTGTTTGCCGGTAAGGATGCTAGCAGAGCTCTAGCAAAGATGTCATTTGAAGAGAAAGATTTAACCGGGGACATATCTGGTCTTGGCCCATTTGAGCTCGAGGCCTTGCAAGATTGGGAATACAAGTTTATGGGAAAGTACGTAAAGGTTGGAACTATAAAAAACAGTGTTCCAGTAACCGAACCAGAAACCACTGGCGAACCTTCAGAATCCACTTCTCCTGATGCCGACCTTTCCATTGCTCGTAAAAACAATGATGCTGCGGAAGCTTCTAAGCATCATGAAGATGCACCTTCAGAAACTCCAGCTGTTGTTAAAAGTGAGGAAAATACAGCTTCACATGTTGATGCAGATCATAAAGGGGAATAAATAGTGTAAGGGTTGAATAATAATTCTCCTCAAATAATGGGAAAAAAATAGTACATAGGAGCTTCTGATAGAGGTTGATCCTTTTGTGAATGTATTAAGCATTTATGCCAACCCTTCAGCATTAAAAAAATGAACTTGTAGTGTTTAATTTAAGTTATTGTGTTTGAACTTCATCTTGTATTCTAGGATTCTACAGCATTTGTGTTGCATAAGAGGTGACATACAACTGAACTCTTGTGATGGTAATTTACTAAGCCAAGTATTGAATGCGTTTAGTCTATATTTGTAGGGGTGCTTAAATAAACCGGTTATTTAAATAATACATATCCGTATCTAAATCCGATTATTAAAAATTGGTTAATTATTAGTATGATTTTAACTAAATCTACATTTTGGATATATTTTAAATATGGTTTTAACCAAATTCATAATTTGGACATCCATATTTAAAATAAAAACCAAATTAGTCAAGTTTTAAAAAAAATAAAAAAAAACTTTAAAAAAAATATTTTTTAAATAATATATATAGAAATAAAAAACCATTTACATTAGTTTATTTTTTGCTAATAACTAATTTTAAGGCACTTTGAACTTTAGTAAGATAAGGAAATGTAAGTATTGATAGTTTGTAGCTTAAATTTAAATTTAGTTTTAAATAAATTAATATAAAAATGACTTACTGTACTATAATTGTAACACATGAACATCCCTATCATTTGAATGTGAATCATGAGACTTTTTATTTTAAAAATAAATTTTTATTTAAAATATTAAAAGTTTAATTATTGTCTACATATTTACTAACATATATATTTGACTTTGAAAACCTTATAAGAATTAGAGTGATAATGAAATTATAAATTCAATTATTTCCTTTAAAAAATGAATAATTATTAATGTGATAATTTAATTTTTGTTTTTGCATATCTATATATTTTATTTATAAAAAAAAATTCAAAATTAAGAAGTTAGTTATTAATGATATGTTTTCATTGAAAATAATTATTATAAATATTCACATTATACTATTAGTTATGTTGTAATTAATATTATATAATTTAATTAGAAATTAAACTAAAAAAATTGACCCATTCTACCAGGTTCACTCTTTTACTAATTTTTTTTTTTTGATTTTTTATTCTATTTTTTCTTGTTTGTTTTATACGCTTATTTATTTACTCATTTTTTTCTTAGTAAGAATGAATTCATAAGTCTATTAGTTTTCTTTTTGTGTTTTTTTGTGTTAAGTACAAATATTAAATTTTTTTTTTAAATTTTTTATAATAGGCCATTCGTTAAATAAAAAAGAAACTATGGATAATGATTTTTTTAAAAGATTTTAAAATAACTATTGTTTTTTTGAACATCAATATTTTTTTTAAAAAATTATTATGTTTTTGAAAAAATCAATTTTAAAATAAAATTAAATAAAAACTAATTATAAAATTTATTATGGATATAACCGGTTAATAACCGGTTTATAACCATTTTAAAAGATGAAAACCGGTTATGAGAATTGGTTTTAATAACCGGTTGTAATATATGGATTGTTTATGGTTATGGATTGGTTATGGAGATTAACCATCCATGAGCATCCCTATATATTTGTGGTCTTATAATAATTGTTTTTATGACACCTGTTACAAAACATGTCATGATGCTAATGTGTGCCTCCACAAACACTCATTTATGACACCTTTTTGGAATATTCCACACCAGTGGCATATGACTTCCTCATTCGGTTGGAATCAGTGGACGTCCAGTCCAACTCTGTTGGCTTCTAATTCGAATCAATGGCAACGTTTGCTCCACATGGACCTCCACCAGGTTTTCCATCAAGACATCCCTTCCCTTATTTATTTTCTCAACTAAGACAACTGCATTCGTACTGAATAATCCTTTGAGCCACAAGTTGGAATTGGTATCCAGATTCATGAGTAACTGATCATATGACAAACAACTCTAAGTTCTCCTTGCAAATAGTCAAAGTTTGTCTGTTAGTACTTGTATTGAATACACATTTTTTTGTTCACCTTTCAAATCATACGCCAATCTTACACTCAAGAACATAGTTCTTGGGCCTGATATCACAAAAAACCTCATCTTTGTGAGTCAATTTGCAATGGATAATGATGTATTATTTTTAGAATTTATGCTCATAGATGTTTCGTTAAATCATAGGATGTAAGAAAATATCCATAATAAACAACAATAACTCACCTTTAATAGCTGTCACAGAAGTTATTGACCAAGCCCAGACAAAATCACTGACACAATCATTAGCCAAAAACAACCTTGCCCCCCCACTTATTAATGCTGTCCCCCCACTTATCAATGATGTCCTCCACTGGATGCCACAAGTAGACCCGCTTAAGGAACACACAAATAAAACAAAAACAAAATTAGACATGAACCCACCACACATTGAAATTGCGGCGCCAACTAACCAACCACAATTAATCTTTGCTGCCAAACCTCGTGTATCAGATGCTATATCCTTTGAAAACAACTCATATAATATGCCTTATTCCACTACCCATACAAACCCAACTTTCATTCCAACACCTGCAGCCCTCAACCACAAATCACACAAACTCAAGCCAAAATTTTCTCAAATGAAGCCAATGCATGCAAACCGAAACAAAACTAATTTTTTGCAAAACCATGCACAAACCAAAAACCCGTGTCAGCTGAAAGAAGATGCAGAAGTCAGTGTGATACAAAGCCCTAACTTCCATGTTGTTGATACAGTAGAAGAAACTGAAAATCAGCTAGAAAGAAAAAGGAGGAGAACACCAGTTATAGAACAGAAGAGTTCAACAAATGCGACTAATCAACATTTTTTATCGGCAGGTCTTGGCAGCCAGGACTGCCGGGACTAATGAGAATCCTCAGTTGGAATTGTTGGGGCTTGAGCAACCCGAGAGCAATTTCGAACCTTCGCAAGTTGGCTCATCAGCATCGGCCGGATATTCTTTTCCTGTCTGAGACACTTGCTAGAACTCAGAAGCTGGAACATATTCGAGTGATGTTGCAGTTCGACTCTTGTTTAACAGTTGATGTAGAAGGAAGAAGTGGTGGCTTATCTGTCATGTGGAAGGATAGTGCAAAGTGTAGTGTTATGAATTTTTCCAGGAATTTTATTAATCTAAGCATACAGGATGACTCAAAAGGTATATGGCGGTTGACTTGTTACTACGGCTTTCCCGAGAGGAGTAGAAGACGTCAAGCTTGGGACATGCTTCGTAACCTTCGAGATATGTCAGAAGCTCCGTGGTGTATTATCGGAGATTTCAATGATTTATTGTCTCAACAGGACAAAACTGGAAATCATAGTCACCCGAACTGGTTATGTGTCGGTTTTCGCCAAGCTGTGAATGACTGCAATCTCACTGATGTCCATCTCGAGGGACACCCGTTTACTTGGACGAAAAGTCGCGGTACTAATCATGCAGTCGAGGAAAGGTTGGACAGAGCTCTTGTTACAACTAACTGGTTGGAACTTTTCCCGAATGCACAGTTGAAGAACTTATTCGCTTCTCATTCGGACCACGGTCCAATTATATTGCATTGTGACCCTGCCCAATGTCGACGTAATAGGTACAAGTTCAGATTCGAAAATAAATGGCTTCAGGAAGATGCTATTGAAGAAGTGGTCAGTGCTGGTTGGAACAAGATTGATAGTGGAGAGGTCACAGACTGTATAGCTATATGTGCGGGTGATCTTAATTCGTGGAGTTACCGTAAACGCAAAAGTCAGAAGGAAGAAACCGAAGGATTGTTAGAAACGATGGAAGCTCACCGTAATGCCCAAGACGAGGAGGCGGCAACACGATTCTTTGAGGCTCAACAGAAGTATAACAAAGTGCTCAGCCGCGACGAAATATTCTGGAAGCAGCGGGCGAAAATGCATTGGCTGCGCAGTGGAGACCGAAATACAGCCTTTTTCCACCGCTCGGCTACTGCACGTAAAAAGTTTCAGCAAATCGAGTTGCTCATCGATGATAACAACAATGAAGTCCGAGAGCACAATGGTATGTGCAACATTGCGAAAGATTATTTTGACAATTTATTCCTTGCAGGGCAGGGGGTATATGAACCAGTACTGGAACTCATTCAACCAACAATATCTGCAGATGATAACAGTAAGCTTCTTTCTCCAATTTCCAAAGAAAAGTTGTTCAATGCCCTTTCTACCATGCATCCGGATAAGTCTCCCGGTCCAGACGGATTTAACCCAGCTTTCTATCAGAAATTTTGGCATCTCTGTGGGGATGATATTTGGGTGGCAGCGAAGAACTGGTTAGACAGAGGGTTTTTTCCTGACTCTCTAAATGAAACAAACATATGTCTTATCCCCAAGTGTACTAACCCTCATACCATGAAGGATCTCCGACCTATCTCACTGTGTAATGTGATCTATAAGCTGGTCTCAAAATTACTAGCTAATAGATTGAAACTCTGTTTGGGTAAATGCGTCTCGGAAGAGAAGTCCGCTTTCGTGGAAGGTCGGTCCATTCTTGATAACGCTCTAATTGCTATTGAGGTCATTCATTCCCTCAAGAGGAGAACAACGGGGAACAAAGCTCATTTGGCTTTGAAGATTGATATTAGTAAGGCGTATGATAGGGTGTGTAACACGGTGGGAGAACTGACTTTAAACAATGTTGCGGATAGCAAGAGTCGCCACCGACTTTTATTTTATCCATAAGGAAAGGTTATAAAAGAACAGGAAAGACCTTAGAGAATATTTTGGGTCCGGGGGGGTAGGTTATGAAAAGGGAAGGTGTTAGCACCCTTTTCATCCATGGTTATCCATGGGCTCTTAGGTACTTAAGCTCACTTTTGAATTGTTTTGAAAGTGTAGTGTGTGAATAGAAAATTTTCAGAATAGTTAATAAATAATCCATGTAAGGATGTGTTAAGAACTTGTTTGAAAACTTGTTGAAAATTTGTTTAAGTGTGAAACAGTTTTGAAGTGAGCAAGCACCTAGGAGTAA